AGATCAAGATTTTGAAACGGAATTTGTTGATGTATTGAATCAACAATGTTATAGATTTTTGGAACAAAAAAGAGAAAAGGCAAAAAATTGTAACGCTGGACCTATTGCTGCAAGAAATATGACATATGCTTCATCTAAGGATGTTTTAAAATATATTTCGGATTTAGGAATAAGTAAGGTTGTATTTTTTACGCATTAAAATATTTTTTTTTGTATACTTTATTAAAACTTATTACTAAACATAATCGATATTTTCATAGGTGAAATTAACTGTAACTAACATAGAAGTGATTTTAAATACATTAATTTATGATGGTAAGGTTGAACATACATCCACAAGTGATGGAAACAATTTATACAGAGCGATTCAACCTGTGTTGAGTTCAGCTGAATTAGTTAAAATCCCTTGCGGTTTGTGTCCGGTAAGACATTATAAATACATTACGTTTATTGAATAAAATCACTTAGATAGTCAATAATTAGCTCTACTACAATGTAAGAGCTGGGCTGAGAAAAAATGTCGGATGCTCGAACACGATACCGGGACTCGAACCGAAGCCTCGTAGTAGTTCATATTAGCAAGCCACCGTCTTGCTGCAAAGCCACACATTTATTTCTTACAATAAATTATTAAAAAAATAAATAAAGACCAATACAAATCTAAAAATACAGAAATATTCATAGTATAATTACTTTTTTATGCATTTAAAAAAATAGTTTTTGATTAAAAATTGAATTTGTTTTTAACTAATTGTAAGGAGAGCTTTAAAGCCCATTCTACAATTGCGTAAGCGTAGTTATAAATGATTGTAGTTGTACGAATTAACCAATCACAGTCAAATACGAAGAAAAGTTCGACTGTGATTAATCAATTCTTACAGCTACAGCCATTTACAACTGCGCTTATGCAATTATAGAATGGGCTTAATATAAATAAAAATCAGCATATTCCGGAGTAATTTAAAAATCTAATTGTGTATTATCTTACATGAACACATTCTCTGCTTTGAGCTAGTATTGACTTCAGTTTTTTATAATTTTCAAAAATATATATTTAATATAATATATTACTTTTCGTTTTTCAGGTGAGAAGAGAATGTCATGACAAAGGATTTGTTACACCTATCAAATGTCAATATATTAAAGAATGGCTAGAATAA